CATGCGAAGATTCGTCATGGTCATTCGGCGTCCTCCCATTACCAAAACTATTGCTGTAAATATCAAGCAGCATATGATATTTAATATAATTAAGCCTCAGATAGTTAATATTAAATTTTGTTATGGTTTATATAGACGTTTAAGTGATGGCATTTTTGATTGACAGTATATAGGCATTAGTTGTATCAGTTATTTGTAAGAGAGACACGCGTGAGTAAAGATTCGGAAAATAAGTATAGTTAGAGAGAGTAAAGCAAAGTTTACTCTTCAATATAGTCCTAAGGCATCTACGGCACATACAGAAGTTTAATTGTTTTATATCGTATGTTTGTAGTATTTTGTTACTTTTACGATATTATGTCGCGAAAATATGATTGGTATGCATGTGTTTTATTAGTTTTAGGATTTATAGCTACTTTAAACTCCCACGGCTGGGGCGCTGTTTATATGGCTCGGGTACCAGGGACACTCTACTCCCCCCCCCCCCGCGAGACAACTTTACCGTGCGTTTACATGATAAAATTCAGAAAGGCATAACGCGGGGAATACTTCGTTTTTTGTTCGCAATACTTCGTGTTTTTTTATCGTTTATGTTGTACATTTCATAAAAATTTTTTATTAAGCATGCGTAGGTCTTAAAAGTCACCCCTGGAGCCCGAGGTAAATTAACGCTAACTGTTTACATGGACAAAAGTTGTCCCTCTTACAAGGGTAACCCTGTTTCGTAAACAGGGTGTCCCTACCGCCAGGGTGCCCCTGCCAGCCGAGACGAGTTGAAAACGTTCCATATAACTTTCCGTGTCCCTAGTATATCCGAGATCATATAAACAGCACCTAGGTAACTTGAATTTTGTATAGAATATTTTCATTAAATATTAAAAGAATCCCTGTTCGACTCAATCATCCAGTCAGTGCCAACCATCTATCACATATCAATAAGGTTCATATATAACACCTAATTTGATCATTGGCTAATGCGTGTGGATTATAAACGCCATAATGCACTCTCTCGACATTTCAGTTTTGTTTCGTGCTTTAATTTTTTGTCTCCGATTTCTTGGCCGAACAATGTGAACAGTATTATTGAGCGTAGTTTAAATCCAAAAATATTAGAAAGCAAGCTAGAAGAAATAGACCGAAAAAAAGGTGCAAAAGCAGTCAACAAGTAAAAGCGGCACGAGAAGGACTACATTTTTGAACCTGTTCTTGAGTCTGAATTAAACAAGCGACAAAAACTTCAAAAAGCTAAAGCATTACACAAAAATTGGAAAAAGAACCAACAAAAGCTAAAAAAATGTCATCAAGAAAGTACATTAAATGTTTTCAAACAAAAATTGCTAGGCATATAACAAAATGAAAGTAAAAGGAGTCAATAAAAATCTCAGACTCCACCGCTTTCGTGCCAAATCTCTCATCAATAATATCTGAATCCGGGCCTAACAGATTTCCTAAATGCTCTTTTGTTTAAGTATGTTCGGGGTTGGTTCGAATGAGGCCAAAGCTGCGGCTGTTTAAAATAGATTTTAAAACACTTTAATTAAAAAAGGTCTTTATTTAACAATTATTCTACGAACTCGAGTCGAATATTCGACGAGAGTGAGTGGAATAACTGTTTTATTATATACACAAGGTCTGAATGGTCTAGCCTTTGCTTTTTGGCTATTTTCAATATTTTTTCTATTTTGTTTATGTTTTTATCTTCGCTCTTTCGGCCGGTTATTAGTTTTCAAAAATATATATTTTGAAAATATCAAATTTTAAAAATTTATTTTCTAACCTGTAAAAAATTGGTAGGAGTTTTTTCATTGTGTTTTTAATCCTGTAAATTAAGGCTATAAAATGCGAACAACTTGCCGTTTTCTCGTTCGCAAAACGTCGGAAATTCGGTTTGAGCCGCTATTTTGTTTTCTCTACTAGCAGGATATGAGCTGATATCCTGCTAGAAAAGAATACAAAATTCAAAAGATTAAACTCTTACAATGTCTACAAGCGTAGTTAGGGGCAAAACGAGACGCTTAAGCAGTGTGATTGTCATAAAAAAGCAAGGAAACATATTAAAACACTTTTTTACCATTAATATGTTAAACGGATTCTAGTGAACCAACTCAGGGAAAAAAACTGTTCTTCAGGTAATATTGTGAGAATTATTCAAGAAAAACGACCGGAAGTAAATGTCTCATTTTGCCCCATTGAACTGGGGCAAAATGAGACAAATATTAAATATACAGAAATTTTTAAAAATTTGAAAATATTTTAATGGTAGGATAAAACTAAGGTTAAAAATACATTAGGAAAGTGGATAAAAGTTTATCTAACAGTCATAGCAAATGTCACATATTACAGTTGTTGGTGTCACAGAGCAACAACAATCTTCATGCAACCACTTTTCGCACTTGCAACACTGGACCCAATCCTCTCCAGGCAATGACTCTGTCCAAAATCCATCACACATGGGACATTGAGAATCTTCCTCAATGTCCATGTTAACATTCTTAGCTTTTGCCGATTTCTTGTTATCAGTCTTAGCTTTCTTGGCTTTTGGCAGTTGATCCTCAGCTTTCTTCGACTTCTTTTCTTTGGCAGAAAGTTTTCGTTTGCTTTTTTTGTTTTTTTCAGCTATGTTCTCGACAAGAGACTGTTTATATGGAGAACTAGTGACTATCCTAGACTCCTCAGATCTCTTTGACTTCTTCTTCTCGGTGAGGGTAGGCAGTTTCATTATCATTGAAAAGCTGACGTGGTCGACTGCAGGTGGTTCATCTTGTGTGGGTGAAGAATTTCTGGGTTCTGAGGATACAGGTGGCATTAGTGTAGTCTCTTCAGTCGCTGGAAAGGACTCTCTGGTTTGTGCTTCTGAAGATGATGCTTCTTCATGGCTTGGGCTCTGATTAGCTGTGTTAGCAAGGGAAGACAAGGTCTCATCCGATGGTGTACCAACAACACGGGGGTCCTCTAGGAAATCAGATGAAGGCAAAATTTCTTTGTTCAATGGGACAATGCCAGTGCATCGGAATCCTGACACAGCATTCTCAATGGTAGCAGCTTTTAAATAGGCAGCATTGAACAGCTCCCCAAGCTTGTCGACAGTGATTTTGCGGCCAGGGTGGTTTCGCATCCAGATTGAGCATGCTGCATTGAAAGCACTCTTGAGCGGTTTGAAGAAACTTCGATCCAGTGGTTGGAGCTTGTGGGAGGTGTGTGGAGGGAGTGACAGGATGACAACACCATTATCACGAGCATACTCTATGGTGGAGAGAATCTTTGTGTGTGTTTTATGACCATCAAGGATCAATAACACTGGGGAATCTTTCGAACACTTTGTAAATGTTACAAAGTGCTTCAAGTAATCCAGAAACAGGTCCGCATCGATCCATCCATTTGGAGAGCAACGTCCAATAGTCCCTGCAGGAGCACGATCAACCAACTCCGGCCGGTTGCGTTTTCTTTTAAAGATCATCATTGGTGGAATGTATGTACCTGATGCACTATAGGCCACTAAAATGGTTGTTGTTTGACCACGTTCACCGCTAGTAACAGAGGAGACACATCGCTTTCCCTTTGGCGCAACGACTTTCACTGGTTTGTGAACACAGGTCAAACCACTCTCATCACAATTAAAGATTTCATGTGGTTTAAAGTTATGTTTATCCAACACAGTTTCCAGGTTATCAAAGTATAAATTCACAGAGGTCTTGTTTAAACCAAAAACCCGATTCACAGACACTGATTCTGGTCTTCGAAGTGACAACTTTGGGTGGCGCTTCATAAAACCCGCAACGAAGTCACGACCAGCCATTTTGTTATCCGAATTGAAATTGTTCTTAATATTGTTCTTTTGACAATAGTCATAGACAATGGCTCTGATGTCATTTATGGAAAGACCATAAAAAGCTTGATCCATGTTGATTATGTGGTCTTCAAGCTCTTTCTCTTGGTCATGGGTGAGAATTGCACGATAACGCCCCAAAATATTTTTGTGTTTCTCCTCTGCGGATAACCTTTTCAGCTTACCTTGCACTCGGCGATTTAGTGAATCCTTGGGAACCCCAAAGACAACGGCAGCTTTTCTTATGGACAGCTCTTTGTTTTCTACTGCCAAGATAGCAAGCTTCATTTGCTCCTCTGACCAATTTGCCCGGTCAGTCTTCCGTTTGTAGTTTCGGACCATTCTAAAAATAATATTAAGTCTATTTAAGTACCTCGTCAACTGATGGTGTCACAGAACTAAGTGAGAAAACACAACTGATGTGTACCCACAGATTATTTTTAGATTGACATAAAAATCTATAGTAAATTTTTATTTAATATGAATTGTTTGAGCAATGATGCACATATGTAGGGTAGAATGATGGTACATACAAACATTTACTGCATTAAAACACCACTTTGAGACACTAATATACATTGTATAATACCCCTATGCTACTTTATATACCATATTATATATATATTGATTACAACATTACAACAGATAGCGATAATGCCCATAAGCAAACAGAAGTGTCTTGTAAGAAAATCGGCCTGTCTCATTTAGCCCCACGGCACTTGGGAGAATTCAAAGGCTCAAAATGATAAAAATAAAGAACAACATGAGCAAAATACACTTTTAACATGAAAGGCCACATGTTTTTGTATACAAAACAAATGGAGTATATTTCTTAGCTGCGGTATTTTAGACAGAATAAAAAACTATCTAAATATGCTAAGTAATAACATACCTCAATTTTGAGACGCCAACTTCAGTGTAATCCAAAAGAATCGATTTTTTTTCGCTGTGAAATAGCTTTGAATCCTCAAACCTCGTTGAATAACTTCGAAAAATGCTTGTTTATGAGCCCGTAATGCTTGTGATAAAAAACCTGCGGTAATACGCCGAAAACTAGCATTATTGCATAATCGTCTCATTTAGCCCCACCATCTCGTTTTGCCCCGACTTACGCTACGTAGTAATGCCTTGCACCCCATAACAATAGTGCAAACTTGACTTTGTCAACTTTGCACTAAAACGTATTTAAGCCTCCTGCTGAAGGTTGAGGACCGGGTATTGCTTGATGGGCGACCCGTATGCACTGCTAAACAACAACATAAAAACTGTATACATTATCATATACAAAGCATTACTATGTGTAATTAAACAAAAACATCACTTGCCTTCAGAGGTAGTTTGAGATGGTGAACTTGCAGGTCTAGTGGAAACTGGAAATGTTCTTGTCACCTTTTTACTTCCATTATTATTTATCGAAGTCGGTTTAGTAGGTTGATTTTCTAAAATCGTAAAAATATGTTTTAAACTATACCACCGAATGATGAACTACGAAGAAACCCAGTTTCCTGCTCTATTTTGTTAAAGATTGATGGTATGTCGGCCTACATCGTTATTAGCGAGCTTAAGTGCAAGGGACGTTTTCGACAACACGAACAGCATGACTAACGTTAAAAGAATGGGTCAAGAATGTTGGTTGGTTGACTTCGTCAACTTTGTCAACTGTTGTGCTTCGTGGGTCTTCTCCAGGCACTCTGGTTTTCAAAAAGTTTCAGGGCCGCCCGAACCTCTCACAATGGTCATGCTTCCCACAAGCAAAGATGATTAGCCTCCCACCTACATCTTTCACTACACAAAACAGATCAGATCACAAACACTATACATAACTTCACCGTATACACTGCTAAACAACAACATAAAAACTGTACACATTAATATGTACAGTACATCACCATGTAATTAGACAAAAAAAATAACTTGCCTTGAGAGCTAGTTTGAGATGGTGAACTTGTAGGTGTAGTGGAAACTGTAAATATTGTTGTCACCTTTTTACTTCCATTATTATCTATCAAAGTCGGTTTAGTAGTTTGATTTTCTAAGATCGTAAAAATATGTTATAAACTATACCACCGAATGATGAACTGCGCAGAAACCCAGCTTTCCTGCTCTATTTTGTTAAAAATTGATGGTACGTTGGCCTACATCGAGCAACAAAATGCTATAACTTGCAACAAAATCTGATTTCAACGCATGTTAATTGAAAATGTTTACACATAAATTCTAAAATTAAACGAGACTTACCTGTAAGTTGAAGTTTGATTGGAATTCTGTGACTTGTTATGCAGGAACAACCTTGTGACGTGGGAGGTTGTTTTGGGGCCTGAACCTCCCCCGTCCATTTTTTGAATGCCGATTAAAGTTGTTTTGGTGAGCATAGCTGGGCCAACGAGTAGGTGTTGCAACCTTTTGGCTGACACGGTTTGTGGAAGCAATGTCCTGTAGTGTCTTGGCCGCATCATCCCCAAAAAGCAATGTTGCAATCGGCACATGATCGCCACAGATTTGCTGAAATTTTTCATTCAAGTCAGGCTTAATCAATGCTCGTCGCCGGCTATTGAGCTCTACATTTGCCTGAGCGACTAGGCTTACTGAGTCAAGTGCCAGCTTGACGATTTTTCCTTTATCAGTCGACCTATCATCCGATTGTCGACAATTTTCAAGGAGCTGAACTAATGGCAGTAGCCCTTTCAGCAAGATGCTTTGTACTTTCTGGAGACGTATGTCCCGAGATCTGGTTGAAGATTGTAGTTGTGCTCAGATTTCTGGATTAACCCGAGTAGTTTCTAGTGATTCACAATTTTGTGGTCTAGGGTAAGCGTTTTGCTTTTCTTTAAGTTTTTCCTCGCTCAATTTTGAGCGCAGAGTTTTATTAATAACTTGGACAAGCTTCTCGGACACATCAGGCCCCAACTGTTCTTCGTCCAGCTCTTGGACAACACTGTTCAAAATTGCGCCAAACTCTTTTTCATTGTCATTGCCAGAGTTTTCCCCTGGGGCTGGGACTCGGCAAGCAACACAGCTACGTCGTCGTTCTGTTCATCCTCGAGCCTTTCCAGTTTAGGGCTGGTTGTTTGGTCGCCGTCAGCCGAGTCCGGCGAGGAAGACCTTGATTTTTGGCGGGAGCGCTTGCCTCGTGATTTTTGTTGCATCAGATCTGTCAACTATTCGCCAAGCGAAGAAAAACCATCTTTAATGTTGCCCGATAGCTCCTCGAACTTCTCCTCCATATTGGATTGACTCTCGTGCCGATCGCCAGACGGACTTTCTTGTGCATGTGTGGCCTCATCGCCTTCGAGCAGTCGTGCATCATCTTCGATTTCGCCCTCGGAGTCGGCCATGTTGAGTCCGTGGACGATGCCTGGTAATCGCACTGAATCCTCGAGCAAAACCACCAAATTATTGGTTCAAATTGCTCCGGAACAGTTGGTTTCGCTTTTAAGCGTTCTTTTGTAACGAATTCAATTAAAATTTTAAATATTTTTCAATAATTTTGGGCACAGAATTTTCTGTACCTTCACTGAACGCCGAATTAGGTACGCTCTGAATGTTGGGTAATTGTTATGCAATTTCATGTGATTGCCTTGTGACGTAGCATAACAAGGAAATAGAATTACAAATCACAAGGCGACGTGTGTCGATATTTTTACTTAACACGCGTTGAAATCAGATTTTGTTGCAAGTTGCAGCAATTTTGTTGCTCGTGTAACTCCAGCTTAAAAGAATGGGTTGACTTCGTCAACTTTTCACTAAAAAGTATTTAAGCCTGCTGCTGAAGGTTGAGGACCGGGTATTGTTGCTCAATGGGTGACCCTGAATCTGACTTAATGTATTTGAAAATTCACTTAATAGTCCAGCGGAAAAGTAAAAAATCATGCACTTTGTGAAGAAAGCACCCAATTCACAGGAAGTGTAGACTTTAACATGATAATGAATCTTAGATATGGAGGCATCACCAAAATTGATGCTGACGGCTTAAAATTTAGGATTTCTTATATTCTCTTATTAAACTCTATTACTGTTTAAAATTGTGAAATTGCAGGTTCACATATAGCAAAAATGACTTGCATGATTAGAAAGCTTACAAAAAAATACATATAAGACTTTTAAACGGCTGATTGATTTCCAAGCGGTTTTCCAGTTATTGCTATTTAAAAACGTGATAAATAGGCAAAAATCCCGCCAAAGTCCTGGACACTAGCCCTAAAACAAATTTTCAACCGCTCATAACTTCAAAGGAGTTGGAAAATCAAAGTAACGGCTTAAATGTCTTATATGCAGTTTTTTGTAAGCTTTCTAATGACACATGTCATTTTTGCTATATGTGAACCGGCAATTTCACAATTTTTAATTGCATAAGAGATTAATAAGAGAATATAAGAAATCCTAAATTCTAAGCCGTCAGCATCAATCTTGGTGATGCCTCCATATCTAAGATTCATTATCATGTTATAGTCTATACTTCCTGTGAATTTGGTGCTTTCTTCACAAAGTGCATGATTTTCTCAAATATCTGTGCAGAGTGTGGTTAGATCTCTGTTGTGCTTCGAGGGTCTTCTCCAGGCACTCTGGTTTTCAAAAAGTTTCAGGGCCGCTCGAATCTCTCACAATGGTCATGCTTCCCACAAGCAAAGATGATTAGCTTCCCACCTATATCTTTCACTACACAAAACAGACCAGATCACAAACACTATACATAACTTCACCGTATGCACTGCACCACATTACATAAAAATTGTGTCTGTAGACATTATTATATATACAATGCATCCTTATATGTACTGTATAATTAGACAAAAAACATCACTTGCCTTCAGAACTAGTTAGAGATGGTGAACTTGCAGGTGTAGTGGAAACTGTAAATGTTGTCGGTTTAGTAGTTTGATTTTCTAAAATCGTAAAAATATGCTATAAACTATACCACCGAATGATGAACTACGAAGATACCCAGCTTTCCTGCTCTATTTTGTTAAAGATTGATGGTATGTCGGCCTACAGCGACGTTTTCGACAACAAGAACGGCATGACTAACGTAAAACGACTGGGTCAAGAATGTTGGTTGGTTGCAAACGTCACATTTGCTTCCGGTCAACGTTTCTGTTGTCAAAAATGTCGCTTCCTTAATAAGCTCGCTATTAGTACACAAACGATTCACCTCCTGAAAGACATGAAACCATGAGAGAGATATCATCAATTGCAATGTCTCCCTTGATATCTTTACCACGTACACCTTCGATTACATACTGCAAGAAAAGTAGAAAAGTGCGGTCGTTTCCGTTCACTAGTAGATCAGAAATATTTAGCATTTGAACAAGCAGGTATTTCTAATTCTATACCCACCTACAGGGTCTTAACTAGAAGGCCAGGTTGGCCGTGTTATCACGGTAAAAATTGAAAAACACGGTAAGACAAAACGAACACGGCTTTATTAAATAATTCAGTTATGTAAAGCTGTGTAGCCATGGTAAGCCATAGTAGCAACACCCCTTAAAAAAGAGTGTTGACACTTACAAGAAAGTTTGTAAAATCTAGTTTATTCAAATTGGTAAGGTGATCCAAGATGATTTTATGTTTTGATGGATGCAGATAATGGCAAAACTATGGTGTTAAAATGGCGTTACATTCCCACCAAGAGTTGCTAAAATAACTGACTGTAATGTCAGTGCAAAATATAAGCGTATCTGCGCCTTGATTTGAAGAGCACGGAACAACCACAGGCATAGTCTATACAGGGTGTCTAAAAAAAACGCTATGGAAATTCAACAGGCTGCCGTGCATCATAAACTTAGCCAAACAATTCAATTTTTATATAGGACGAAAGAGCTGTTATTTAGCTTTTCTATATGATACCTTTTTAAATCCTAACGATGAAAAATGGCCACATATACTCGTCAAATAAAAATTGCCGGTCGAAATCACATTCTTCCACCTTTGGGAATTGAAAAACATTAATTATGCAAAGTTAGTCAATCCAAAAGTAACGCGAGCCTGCTGCAAGCAACCTGTAAGCAACCTGGAAGCTATTTGTTTCGTAAAACGTTTTGATTACGAATCTTCTCTGTTCAAGGGTAAATTAAACCATGTTTTATGAACGTTCTTATTGAGTTATTGTCTCACTAAGACAAAGATCGACGAGTTGAGCTCATTTTAGATAATTTAACATGTAATTTCAATTCCCTCTTGGGAAGAATGTAATTTCGACCGGCAATTTTTATTTGACGAGTATGTGGCCACTTTTCATCGTTACGATTTAAAAAGAGTATCATTGAAAAGCTGAATAACTGTTCTTTCGTCTTTATGATGCATGCACGACAGCCTGTTGAATTTCCATAAATTCCATAGCGTTTTTTTTTATACCCTGTATATATTGTTGGCGCGCATAAGCAGAACCGTGGATATTCTGCTTAATTCGCAAGAAAATTGTCCGTGATTGGAACTTGTGAGCTCTGGGTTGGAACTAATGATTGTAACACAAAGAAAAAATTTCTTGTTCGTTCCAATCCACGGATAATTTTCCTGAGTGGAAACCAGCCTTTACACTATACCAGATTGCATCGGAGCGTAGCGATTTTCATACCGGATTCGGCTGCTGTTTAAGACAGTTTTCCACTTATACCGTAGCATTTTCTTTTGTGTCGACTGAAGTCATTAGTTCCACACAACCGCTCAGGAAACAAATATATACGCTACGTTCCGGTACGCCACAGCCGAATCCGGTACGCGACGCGGAGCAAAAATTACTTCGCTTTGGAGGTGATACGAAAAGTAATCCTGTATGTGCCGGAGCAGTGTAAACAGGTCAATCCGGTACGCCAAAATCGCTTTTGGCGTGTATGTTTTAACAGTGTCGCCTTTATTTGCTCGCTTTACAATACCTAATTTACAGCTGTTGTTTGTTTCGTCTTACAACCATTTACTATTTCTGGCGAAGCCAAAAGAGAAAACGATAATAACATTGACTTTTCGCTTTTGAAAGAGCAAAAATTGAAGAAATACTTGTCAATTTTGGAATGGAGCGAAACGAAGCAACGTCTGGTGATCAGGTTTTTTAAACAAAGTTATATTGTACAAAGGAGATGTGTGTTACTTCTTGTTTTTAATAAATTTTAGTATATTGACAAAAAATGTTTCTCTTGTTTCCATGGAGATAGTAAAGACATGAGCTGGCAACAGAGCGAAACGGCATAGTGTAAACACCCTTGTTTTTTACTTCGTCTTCGGAGTGAAAATTAATCCAGTATGAAAAGTAGTCTGGTACAGTGTAAATGGGGCCTATAAAGACCTTACCCACCAATATCTGCTGTCTTTGGATTCAGTTATATTTTGGTGCTGACTGGTCTACATGCTCACCTGATATGACGCCGTTTGATCGTTCACGGCCACTTGTGCTGGATTCCACTTGTCACCTTGGTTTCCAGAAAGACTCCACACAGAATCCATCTTACCCCCAGATTTCACGTAGACCTAAAATTATACATGTATACATTTATCAGTGTATGAATGTGTTTCAGCTCACGATAGAAGAACCTAAAATAGCGGGCGAACATTTCCCGACAAAATTACAGTTTTTCCGATAAAATGGCAAATTGGCCAAACATTTGTTCAAACAAAAAATATCAATCAGTTTTCAAATTAGTATCATTATCATTTAAACTATACTGTATAGTGTTTGGCATGAAGTAATATTTATATACTGACGTGATTTACCCAATGGATGCCGTTGTCACAGAAAATCCCCCCCCCTCCCCCTCAGAAACATAGATCGTAAAATATAAAAATCGAATATTACTCTAATTGCTGTTAATTGCTAATTGCTGTTAACTACTCTTAGCATGAAGTATTGCGTTTGCGTGTTTCCAGTCTCTTTGGCCGAGTTGGTCAAGATTTCGATTTGTCACTCTGTCTGTAAAGATGGCGTAATTCTACTAATTGTGAGAAAATAATGAATTCTTCAGGAGGTTTTTCTAAACGATGGGGGCGGTAAAAATTTATTTTGGGTTGCGCACGCTTGATTCTTCTCAGGTATGTTTGATTTTCACGATGCAAACGATCGACAAATGTATTTTGAATAATTCAGGTAAGGATGGCTTTATTGTTTTCTGGCATCCCATGTCAAGCGGTTTGGAAAATCTAATACTCGAGAACCGATAATCAGCACCATAGAAATGCCCAGTAGCGTAGCCAGCCCGACGATTTAGTCCCGCTATGCAAATATTTTCGTGTTCATTGACTGTGAAAACAATCAATTTCTAAAGAAATGAATAATGATAATAATTTTGAATTTGCATAGCGGGACAAAATTGTCGGGCTGGCTACGCCACTGGAAATGCCCAAGGGTCGTTTTCCCGAAGTTGAGGTAGTAAGATCAACAAAAGAATCGGTGGTGATACCAAAACACGACAAGATATTCGTGGTTCACGGTATTCCTAGAATAATTAAGACAAATAACGGATCTCCGTTCATAGCGTCGGTACGCTATGTAGAAACATTGGGAACCAAACTTGAATTCTCAACCCCATTATGGCGTCAAAGCAACGCCGAAGCGGAACGGTTCATACAAGTACTCGGTGCAGGAGGCGTTGAAAATAGCAAACATACAACAACGACCTTAGAAGCAGGAACTGGGTCGTTTCTTGCTACATTATACCGATCATCGCCGCATTGCGCAACGGGAGTACCACCGGCAGAAATTTAAATTTATTTAACCGAACTTTTATTTAACTGAACTGTTCAAGCTAGGACAATTATCTCAGTGTCCTAAACAAGGATATCTTGAACAGACACAAAGAAGCTCAACACAACGAAAGGAAAAGAAAAAAGTACAACGAGATATATGATGCTCGAAAGCACAAGTTAAGGTAATTCCGCAGTTTTGCATTGCGCACTTTTACTGCGCACACCGTATAACTTATAATTTCATCCATTATACATACCGTTTACTGAAAAAATCATAATTTCATGACAATTTTATGTTACTTCAAAACATCTTTGCTTACATTCGTGCAAAGAATTACGTTCATGTCACTGTTTTCAAAAAAGGCATACAAGAGTGTAGCTAGGGTTCCTGTGTATGTATAGTATATTTATTTACTTGTATTTCACGTTTTGATGCCACAATTCCCTAAAAAGATCGGTGACCCCCATTTTTTAACTGATAATTTATTTCTTTAATGCATTTTACACTTCATAACCGAAATTGAAAGAAAAATCATTTCTGGATCTTGAAAAAAAACCTTTATCAATGCATGTTCTCAAAGAAAAATATGTAAAGAAATGTGGAAAAGACATTTATGAATCAGAATTGTACACGTTAGTAGTTTCATTTTGCTCAAAACACAATATTTTTTCACAAATGATTGCAAGATAGATTTACTAAAGCCAAATCCTCGCTAAAAACGTCAATAAATACCGGGCTGTTGTGATTTTGCTTTTACTCGTAATGAGCGTCAAGATGGCGCCATATTGCGGGTAAAGGTGGTATATTGTGATTGTCATATCTTGACATGACCCCGACTTTTTTGTGCGATTTTACTTTAAGTATATCATAAACTTCATCCCTGGGAAGTTTCAGCAAATTCTCATTTCGGAAACAATTACTGCGGAATTACCTTAAAGGAAAGTGAACTAAATCTCGGAGATCATGTACTTGCTCGTCAAGAACGAAAAAAATATACTGACTTCAACGTTTAAACCCATACCTTACGTTGTAACCAAACACGAACATTCACGTGTGATAGCACGAAACCAAAACGGACATGTTATAGGCCAAACACGAAACGTGTCATACTTCAAACGAATATCAAAACCGATGAATACCGATACGGATATTGATGAGGGGGGCAAGGGTATTTTCGTGACTCGTGATTAGCAATTAGTCGTGTTTCGTGATTCGTGATTTAAAGAAATACCATTCCGTGAATCGTGATTAATATGCGTGCCGTGAATCGTGAAGAGCTAAAAGGCTAGCTATGGTTTTGAATTTACAAATATTTTACCCTAACTTGTGAATGTTTACGTGTAAAACTCGGCCTAAATGTAATATTATGGGGGAAACTAATTTATAAATTTGCTTCCCGCAGTTGTGTTAGTTCTTGAGGTTTCTTCGTTTCATCGGTAAACCGGCGTCGTTATCGTATACCTTCGTACCTCTTCGTAAACTTCGTGAACCATCGTACGATGCTCGTAATGCCTCGCAATGATTTCCATTGTCCTTTAAACGGCTCTAATGTTAAAGTCAGTATGTGTTAAATGGTTTCAGACTTTGTTACGCTTCTGTGTTTCTAAAAATCGTGAAAATAAAACTTTGTTTTTCGTGACTCGTGAAATCGAAAAATGATCTTCGTGATTTCGTGACGAGACCCCCCTTGCTTCCCCCCCCCCCACCCCCCTCATTGATGACGAAATAAATCTAGACCGTCCGGACAATATAATCGAAAGAGGCAATGCAACGAATAACGCAACTCAAGCTGAGGTGGAAAACGAACTAGTATGGAAGATCAAGAAGAATACGAGGCAAACCAGACAGATTTGGACAGTCCGTAGAAGACTAGTAGTATAATATTATGAACTACTTTGTTGCGTTTTGTTCAGGGGGTGATGTAGTAAACAATGACGTAATGGACATTAAATAATGCCTTATATGGACACAATAACATTTGGAAAAAACATATGCTGAGATAGTCAAAGTATTGAGAAAGAGAGCGATTGAGGCCCAGTTCCTGGTCCAAAAATAAATACCTGAAGTTTATCCACTTTAGTGCTGTACATGTGGAAAGGAAACGGAGGTAATTATATCAAGTTTAATATTCAGATCAGATGATAGTAGACTTGGGAAACAAATTGATGAAGTGAACTTAGCGTTAAGTAAGTTATGTCGACAACACAATTGGACATTAATAGACCACTCAAATATTACACAAAAACATTTAAATCGAAGTGGTCTGCATTTGAATAGAGACGGAACTACTCAATTAGCTCGTAATTTTTTAAATATCATAAATCATAATAATTGAAATATTGCCGGATGGGAATCCCTAATCTCTGTGCTGCCAGATGATAATAATGATAAAACTGAAGATACACCTTTAACTATCGATCATAACGTCTATGGACGTGGCTTAGTGATGGCCTCGTTAAATATAAATAGCCTTTTAGCTCACATAGCCTTTGAAAATATTATTGGAAAGCTGGACTCAGAAAATCAAGAGATGTGTATATTAGGTGACATTAACATAGATCTTATGCATGAACCGATCTCGGCCAATGCTGTAAAACTGAATTCCATACTAGATATTTATGGTATGGATCAGCTAATAAACGAACCTACAAGAATTACTAATTGTTCTCAAACCTTGATTGATCTATGTTTCACAAATGTACCATCAAAAATAATAAAATTCGGCGTTAACCACATATCTATTAGCGATCATTCACTTGTGTTTATGACTTATAAAACTAATATAGAACGTACCGGGACGCGCACAATAAAAACTCGTTGTTTAAAGAATTTCAATAGAGATAATTTTCTTAGAGACTTGGAACAAAAGCGGTGGTGTGATGTTAACACAAATACTGATCCTAATGATATGTGGGACACGTGGAAAAGTTTATTAATGGAGTGCATTGACAAGCACGCACCATCTCGCTCCAAAAAAGCAGGCAAAAAAAAATCGCCGTGGATAACAAGCCAATTGTTACGACATATGCATAAACGAGATTATCTGAAGCGGAAAGCAACATTGGCCGATGATCAAACTTTATGGGAAGAATATAGGGTTGCTCGAAATCGTACCAATAACGAAATTAGAAAAGCAAAGCAAGAGTATTTTATAACGAATTTGGAAATAAGTATCGCGTAATTGTAATAAGTCAAGTAACATTAACGAGATTAAAGTAGACGGAAAAACAATAATTACACCTGCAAATATAGCTGAAGCTTTTAACAATCACTTCTCAAATATTGGTGAGAATCTAGCCTCAGAGATACCCATTTCTAACGTCAACCCTGAAGACTATTTAGAATCAACTGAGCAGAGATTTTCCATTAGACCTCCTACGGTTGATATGGTTTATATTCTGTTGAGTACAATTAACGAACGAAAAGTTCCAGGTCTCGACAACATTCCTAATAAGCTGTTAAAAATAGCAGCAGCAATAATCTCACCATCATTAACTGATATATTTGCCAGATCAATTAACACTGGCATATTTCCATCCGAGTGGAAAATGGCTAGAGTAACACCAATATTTAAGAAAGGAAAAAGGAATGATCCGATAACTATCGACCAATATCAGTTATTTCAGCTGTAGCCAAAATCTTCGAAAAATCAATCTTTGAGCAACTTTATAATTACTTCAGTTCTAACAGCTTGTTAACGCATTGCCAGTCCGGTTTCAGGTCGTTACATAGTACACTTACTGCTCTTCTTGAAGCCACTAGTAACTGGTCAGTTAATATTGACAATGGCCTCTTCAATGGAGTAATATTTATCGACCTTAAAAAAGCATTCGATACTATTGATCATCAGATATTGCTGCGGAAGCTTCGAATTTACGGTATGGATCAATTAAGTCTCGAATGGTTTCAGTCTTATTTGACCGGTCGATCTCAGAAATGTAATGTTAGAGGTTGCTTGTCATCATCTGCATCAGTTACACGTGGTGTACCACAGGGAAGTAACTTAGGACCATTACTCTTCCTTGTGTATATTAACGATCTTCCTAATTGTCTCAGTGCAGCAGTACCGAGAATGTTTGCTGATGATACGAACATTAGTTATGCGGCCAACACTATCGCCGAACTAGAAAATGTTATTAATTCGGAATTAAAAAAATTGAAAAGCTGGTTGGAAGCGAACAAATTAAGCCTTAATATCGCCAAGACAGAATTTATGATAATAGGATCTCGACAACGTATGCATGCGCACACTAACGAAAATATCAATATTGACCTGGATGGTCATGTGATTAAACAAGTTGATGAGGCAAAATCACTAGGTGTAATTATTGATAAAAATCTGTCTTGGTCTAAACACATTGATATGAAGTGTAAAAAGATTTCGTCCGCTATAGGTGCTCTTAAGCGAATAAAACCATTTATATCAACTGAAACAGCAATCCAAATTTACAACGCTATAATTCAACCTCACTTTGATTACTGTAGTCCCATTTGGGACGAATTTGGCGCAACATTATGTGAAAAAATGAAAAAATTGCAGAATAGAGCTGCTAGAGTGATTACGAAATCCAACTACGATGTCAGCTCTAGCATTCTCTTAGAGAAACTGCATTGGGACGCCGGGTCAGCTCTTCCCAAAAATCGGCCATCTGATATAGACTTTTTCAATATATTTGGGATGGACATGAAACTTGCTACATCAATATAACTTTCCATTCCGAACAATCGTATGTTTTTTATTTTTGAGATTTAACGGTTTTTGGCGGGAAAATGACGTCACGAAACCTCCAGTTAAAATTTACTTTCAATATCTTAATAGTTTTTAAGCAGAATTTGGAAGAACATGTCATGAACAGTTCAAAACTGAAAACGGATTTTAAATATCTAAACCTAATCCAAAGTTATTTCGCTATAAAAACCGTGAAAAATCTAAAAATAGTAACAAAATGGTGGAAAATTCGATTCTAAACTCCCTGTATCTCGTGATTAGATTAAGATATTTAAAATCTCTTTTCAGTTTTGAACTCTTCATGACATGATCTTCCACATTCTGCTTAAAAACTATTAAGATATTGAAAATAAATTTTAACTGGAGGTTTCGTGACATCATTTTCCCGCCAAAAACCATTAAATCTCAAAAATAAAAAACATACGATTGTTCGGAATGGAAAGTTACATTGATGTAGCAAGTTTCATGTCCATCCGAAATATATTGAAAAAGTTTATATTAGATGACCGATTTGTGAGAACAGCTGACCCGGCGTGTTTGTGCGTTATGCCAAGAAGTAAGCGAAGAGCCTTTACAGTGCCCTGCAGACTCAAAACGCCAAGAAATAGGTGCTGGATATAAAAATTTGGCAGGCAATTTAGAGAAGTTTGCGAATCTTGGATGTATGCCAAGGGAAATCAGTCTATCCCGATTGAACGAAGGCGGTGGCATCGCAGCAACGTTAATAAAGAACAATGACCAATGGCATAGAAGTTGTTATGCCCTTTTCAACTCGACCAAGCTAAAAAGAGCTGAAAAAAGAAAAAAGAAGCAGCCGCTAGGTGGTGAAAAGTTTACACGTTCAAATGCCAATGCCTATACCAAAGACACAAGTCCCTCGTGTTTCTTGTGCAAGTCTGATGATCAGCCGTTACACTGTGTCTCGACACTTGGGGTAGATGCTCGAGTCTGTGAGTGCGCATCATTGTTAAATGACGAAAAGCTTTTAGCTAAGTTTGGCGGTGGAGATCTGATTGCTCTAGAGGCACGCTATCACGCTAAGTGCCTTGTAATGCTGTATAGGAACGCAGAGTACGCCAAAAGAAATAATGTGCCAGAGAGCGAAATGCCTCGCCGTCACAATGGCATTGCTCTGGCGCAGCTTGTCACATTTATCGAAGAAACGCAGTCAACTGGAAAAGAGCTGCCAACATTTAAACTCGCAGACCTGGCACAAATGTACACAGACTGCTTGCAGCAGCTCGGTTATGAATGTACTACGCGGGTGAACACTTCGCGTCTTAAGGAATGTCTTTTATGTCAAATTCTTGACCTCCAGGCTTATGTCAAGGGATGCAATGTATTTTTTGTTTTCACGAAGGACGTTGGCAATGCACTGCATAAACTCCATAAAGATGACCTAGATGATGAGGCTATTCATCTAGTAAAGACAGCCTCAATCGTCCGTAAAGACATACACGCCAATAAGTACTCCTTCAATGGATCTTTTGAGCAAAATTGTCAAAGTAGCTCTGTCCCAACATCCCTCTTATCCCTTATCACCATGATTCTCTACGGGCCTAACATAATTAACATAGGGGTATCTGTACATAGGGGTATCTGTACACGCATAGACCAGGAGCCGTGATCTTGTAGACAGACTACATCGATTAGGAATCTCTATTTCCTACGATAGAGTAATGAGCATTTCAACAGACCTTGGTAATGAAGTATGTCGCTGTTATCGGGAAGAGAGGGCAGTGTGTCCTTCAAATCTACGTCTGGGCCTTTTTACAACTGCTGCCATGGACAAATTGACCACAACCCGAGCTCGACGACTGCAAAGGATTCATTTCACGGCACTGGTATATCTTTATTTCAGCACCCATCCATGGATAATCCTGGTACGGAACGGCCACCTATCAATATATCACAAGATACCGGTAAATCAATCAAGGAACTTCCAGCATCCTACACAGACGTCATCCCTGTGTCAGCGACAGGGGGTAAGGCTCAGATTCCAGCCACTATCTCGGAGATAAAATCGGATGGAAACTCCTTCGCTCGCGGCATGAAGGATGAGCTAAAATGGCTTGAGCAATCCAGCGCCATAATTCTTAACCAGGAAACCTTGGAAGAAAACGTAAATGTGTCTTGGTCCGCTTTCCACTCACATCAACCATCATGTACCCCACCCAATTCAATCGCAATTTCAGCGCTTTTACCACTTTTTCCACTTTTTCCTGACCAAGCCAAATCAGTTACCATGATTAAGCATGCCATGGACGTCATAAAGCTTTCGGTTAATCACTTGAATCCTAGCCAAGTTCCTGTCATCGCCTTAGATCAGCCCCTGTATGCTGTGGCGAAGGAGATCCAGTGGAAGATGTGTGACAATTACGGCGAAGATAAGTTCGTGATGGTGTTTGGTGGTCTCCATGTAGAGCAGGCATTTTTGAAGGTGAACGATCAGTGGCTCGAAAATAGCGGATGGACAGCAGCCCTTGTAGATACAAACGTGGCAACACCAGGAACCGCAGAATTGTTTATAAAGGTGTCAAGCATAACCCGCACACAAAGAGCCCATCAAGTAACGGCGAGCATGCTTTTCATTCTGCTTCAGAGGGCATACAAAAGGTACGCCAATGGGATGACTGAAGACGTCCTTACCTTTGATGAATGGTGCACGAGCAAGGTGTCAACAGTACCACAGTTCCAGTTCTGGCACACGTCCCTACAATTGGAGCTCCTTCTACTTGTTTTTTTGAAATCTCTATGCCGGGCTGACTTTGGCATGTATGTGGATGCAGTTTGGAAGATGTTGCCATGGTTCTTTGCTCTGAACCACCCAAACTATGCCCGTTCGCTTACAATACATGTACGCGATATGCGCGCGTTAGGTGATCAAGCACCATCCGTAGCACAAGCATTCAATCAGGGTCTGTTTGCTGTAAGCAAACCCTTGAGAAGATTTTCCGCGATTTCCATCGATCAAGCACACAAGCAGAACAACGCAATGGTCAAGGGCGATGGAGGGGCCGTGGACTTGACTGAGAAGGCAAATGCTCTTCGCAGATGGATGCTCTCCGGGCCTGAGATGGCACGGCTTGTCAATGAGTTTGAAGCGTGTGTGGCCCCTGAAGCCTGTCACGATGCTAGTTACCACCATGAAGCACAGAAAAGCTTTCAGGTTGCATTTCACCAAGACGTTAAGTCTCTCGTGCAAGTGTATGAAGATTTTGGTAACCCCTTCGACGAGGAGAGCGCAGATCTTGTTGTCTTGGATTCCAAAGTAGTAGCAGACAAGGAAGGAGTATTGAGAATGCAGCAAGTGGAGGAACTTGGAAGAAAGCAGTGTGAAAAATTCATTCAAGAGCACTTAGTAGAACGGAAGACACCACTGGATGAACCTATTACCAGAAACAAGCTCGACTTCTTCTCGACTACTTCACAAAAGAAGAAATCAAAGGTAAATCAGAAGTTCTCCTCTATGAAAAGCGATTGCTCCCTTTTCTCTCGGCTCTTCATAGCCTGCCAAACACGAAATTGCGACCTGGATGATTTCTTCAGACATGAAAACCAAGGCTGTCCACCTTCACTATCTGATGAAGGAAATCTGCGCTTACCGTGACAGAAATCCGAGCTCGCAAATTGTCTCAAGGCCCTCACCACCCCACAAATTGTCCCCCCAGCCAACAGCGACGTGATAATCATGGATGGAGCAGCAGTGGTCAACATCATTAGGCCTACAGGGACTGAAAGAACATTCTCGGGGTATGCTACAGCAACTTTTGTCCCCTACGTCATCGCTCAGCTTCGCCATGTAAAACGTGTTGACATTGTGTGGGATACGTACAAAGAGAACAGCCTAAAAGCCACTACTCGTAGTCTTCGTGGAGCAGGATTAAGGCAACGCGTCGCACCAGACAACCAACTACCAAGAAGCTGGAAAGATTTCCTTCGTGTTGACCAGAACAAACAAGAGCTGTTTCAGTTCCTCGCACAATGTGTCACCTCGAATGACTCAGAGCGCCAAGTAATATCATCACATGGGGAACAAGTTTTAAGCAGCCATCCATGTGACGATACAGCAACTTTAGCTCACTGATACTGGCAGTGTCTCTGGTCCAGCAACGACAGGAGCAGGCAAATGAAGATATCGAACTCTGGGTCGCATTTGGTACTGGTACACATCTACGCTATTTAGCAGCCCACGAGATCACTGAAGCGCTAGATATCAACATCGCACGTACCCTTCCTGCTTTCCATGCTTTCACCGGATGTGACACAGTGTCTTGTTTCTTTGGCAAGGGCAAGAAAACCGTGTTGGATACTTGGAATAGTTATCCTGAAGTCACCCCTGTCTTTCTCGCCATGTCCAACGCGCCCTCGGAAATTTGTGATGAGTGGATGACAGCTTTGGAGCGCTACACCGTGTTGTTGTACGACAGAACGAGCACTGCATCCACAGTCAACGAAGCCTGAAAGCAACTGTTCACTCGTAAGGGACAACAGTTTGACTCCCTCCCTCCAACGCGAGCAGCATTAGTTGAACATGTCAAGCGTAAGGTTTTACCAGGCTGGTCATGTCTGGGGACAATCGCTTGTGCCGAATCATTCTCTTCCAAGTCCGCAAGATTGGGGATGGGACGCAGATGGCGGGGAATGGCGACCCTTCTGGACAATGTTACCAGAGATCACCAAATCATGCCAGCAATTGGTCAAGTGTGGCTGCAAGGGTGCCTGCCTTGGACGTTGTGGAGGTCGCAAGGTCAGTCTGAGCTGTACAGCTCTCTGCAAATGTTCAGACGAGTGCGACAACTGATGAAGTACTGTGATCATGTCACAAGAGTTTGAATAGTTTGAATAGTCGAAGTTCATGATGTAATCGATTTGGAATATGTTTGGAATATGTTTGGAATCCCCAGAGTAGCTAACATCGTGTTAACGAGATAAGATGAAATGTCTCGATAAGTAGACTGTATTCTATTAGATTGTTATCAAATATATGGAATTTTTATTCAATGGAGAGCAATTGTACCTCGTTTTATTATCTACTTCCGGTCATTTGGCGGCCATTTTGAGTTTTCAGGGTTTTTTAACTGGTTATTTGATTGTGTGTGGCTAAAGTAGCTATTTTTTGGAATAATTTGTTTTGTTTTGCATATTTGGTTATGTTTTCAACCAAGTTTTAGATAATTATATTCGATTTCACTTCCGGTTCAAAATGGCCGCCATTTTGAAAACATCCCCTAAATAGCACTTAACGTGAATTTTTGAGATGGCACTATATCCAATGTTGTTAATAACCTTGAAAACTATCTCCATGGCGAATTTGGTGCTTTTAACAGAAAGTGAACACTTTTAGCACATATCTGCCCCACTAAAAGCCCAGTCCTGCCAGACTTTCAACCAAAATTTTGTGCTTTTGTTCGTATTTTCATTTAGTTCTTTTGTTAACGCAAAATTTAGTGCTTTTGTTCGGATTTTCCTCTAGGGCAATTTCAGTTCATGTTTGTGTTTAAAATACCTTTCCACCATTTTGTTTGTTTTGGGAAAACCCATTAATTGTACTGCAGTACAATTAATGATGGTAATAGAACGAATAGGAGTGCTATTAATGCCATAATCATACGAGTGATTACAAAATCAACCGACCGCGTAGCGGGAGGTTGATTTGTTAATCACAAGTATGATAATGGCATTAATAGTACGACTTCATTCGTTCTATTACTTATTAATTATTTATCTTCTGTAATCAAACTGTTTAAGGGGGAAAAGCACAAAAATACAATTTGTTGAAATTCAATATAATTATTAAATTTTTATCACGACAATTCTTAGTGAAATAGTACAATTTTGAATTATTTATCATATATAATCAAATTAACATATTATTAACTTCTGGGCATTATTTCCGGTATAATCACATGACAACATTTGTTTGAATTATTCAACACACAATTGGGAAGCCATGTTTGTATGTTTATAACGTGTCCAAAATAGCGAAGTTCTTTAGTTCAGTCAATCATCTGAATTTGATTGAAATGTAACTCCTGGTTGTGTCTAGTTCGGTGTCTTCTGCTGGAAGAACAGGTAGGTCATTTCGTCAGAAAATATATAATTTAACAACCCTTGAAAACGAGATCGGCATTTGGCAAATATGCTGACCTACCGTATTAAAATGCCAACCTATCAACCTCCCAGGTTTGCCGACCTTAATTCAGCCAAAGTAAGAAACTTTTTTGGTGCTAATAGCTGTTAAAAAGTCCGCGATTATAGAATTCGATACACTTTGGTGTAAAGGTTTAAGAATTAACACGGGTATTATGATATAATTTAGGTAAGACTCTAAAAGAAAAGCCTTCGTGACATTTATGCTTTTCAATGATTCGTAAATACGTGATTACTAGTGCAGGCTATTACTACTAGTGCTCCAAAACATGGAAACAGATTTTAAAAAATGCTGAGATGTGCCGAGCTAGGTCTGATTTAGGTCGGCATTTTTTTCTGACCTCAATTTTGACGGTTTTCGAGGGCTGATTTAAAAATTAAAAGGTCAAAATTTTCAAAATTTGTGAATTCCTCCATTTTGAAAATTTTTACAGCAATAAAGAAAATAAAATTCAAAGTTTGTATCCTGAATGCTGATTGGCTAGTTGTAAATACTAGACTGATTGTCATTGGTTGTAGACAAGAGTGCGATTACAGCTCAGAAAAGGCATGGTAGAAAACCCGGGTAGCGGATAACCGGATAGTATATAGACATCTTTTCATGGGAAATACTTACGTGAGGTATTTACGCACGCGTTAATTTGTTTTCGCAAATTAAACGAACGAGCGAGTGCAAAATTTGTTTACTTCATAGACGATACAGAGTTTATTTATATTACAGTTATATGTTTCATAAAGCGAGACAATCAGATAAACAAAGTCGTGTCGTACAAAAATACATCGGAAAATACAAATTTTTCAGTATTAATGAACAGGAAAGGAAATATCAATTTATTATTATTATTTACAAATATTTTAAAACGGTAGCTCTTCAGAACACCTATGATCCGTTTTTCAAGAGGCCGTTTAAACTAATATTTACAAAGTTTAATAAAAATTACATCTAAAATATAATATAAATTATCACACAGTTAAAGTCTAAGAGAATATATACAAAATATTGTATGCACACATAAATATAACTAACAAATATTGTCGTTTTCTCTGAGAAATGTTTTGAATTGTCCCATCGTCATTTCTTTTGCCTTAATCTCATTTGGCAAATTATTCCAGCATTTTGCCCCTGAGTAGCTAATACTTTTTTTTGAGGAAATTAGTCTTAGGTTTATCCAGTTGAAAATTAATTCTATTATTTCTAAGGTCATATTTTTCATTATTAGAGAATCTAAACAAATTAGCCATATTTTCCGGTGCCTCCTGATTATTAACAAACATGAATGTGAATCTCCCGCTCTCCCTTCTTTCCTCAAGTGTTTGCCAATTAAGCTCTTTTAGCAATTCACTTGTTCGTATTTCATATGATTTGCCAGTAATTATTCTTGCCGCTCTATTTTGCATTTTTTTGCATCTTGTTGTGCAAGTAATTACTGCAATTTTCCCAAACTAGACTGCAATAATCGATAAAAAGGACATATCAATAAAATAATGCATCTATTCAAAAAACTCAGTATCTATATAATAAAAAGATTTTTATTCTAATTTTAAGGTAAATATTCCATTCATGATTCTCATTGATTTAAGAACCGCATTAGCCCCCTCAGATACGTTAATGTTAAAAATCAGGAGGCACCGGAAAATATGGCTAATTTGTTTAGATTCTCTAATAATGAAAAATATGACCTTAGAAATAACAGAATTAATTTTCAACTGGATAAACCTAAGACTAATTTCCTCAAAAAAAGTATTAGCTACTCAGGGGCAAAATGCTGGAATAATTTGCCAAATGAGATTAAGGCAAAAGAAATGACGATGGGACAATTCAAAACATTTCTCAGAGAAAACAACAATATTTGTTAGTTATACTTATGTGTGCATACAATATTTTGTATATATTCTCTTAGACTTTAACTGTGTGATAAGTTATATTATGCCTATATTAACGGCCTCTTGAAAAACGGATCATAGGTGTTCTGAAGAGCTACCGTTTTAAAATATTTGTAAATAATAATAATAAATTGATATTTCCTTTCCTGTTCATTAATACTGAAAAATTTGTATTTTCCGATGTATTTTTGTACGACACGACTTTGTTTATCTGATTGTCTTGCTTTATGAAACATATAAACCTTTATATTTTTCGCTGTGTAATATAAATAAACTCTGTATCGTCCATGAAGTAAACAAATTTTGCACTCGCTCGTTCGTTTAATTTGCGAAAACAAATTAACGTGTGCGTAAATACCACACGAAGTATTTCCCATGAAAAAATCTCTATATACTATCCGGTTATCCGATTATCCGCTACCCGGGTTTTCTGCCATGCCCTCAGAAAAGGTGCGATTAATGCTCAAATCGCACTCCTGTAAACCAATGAAATTGCAGTATTTGCCACTGATTACAGAAGATAATTAATGAAATAATTGTACTCTCAACCAATCAGCATCCAGTAATTTTGTCATGCTAATAATATCTGTAAAATGAATAGCAAATTACAGGAAGACAATAAAGTAGCTGTCCTGTTGTGGTTCCCAGGTTGACAATCTTGCCAAGATCCCAGCAAGATCTTGACAAGATCTTACCCAAGATCATGCCAAGATCTTACATAAATCCTGCAAGATCATGGAAAGATCTTGCATGATCTTGCAAGATCTTTCCAAGTTCTTGCAGGATCTTACCTAAGATCTTGCAGGATCTTGCAAGATCTTGCCAAACATCTTGCAAGATCGTGCCATGATCATGACAAGATCTTGCCATGATAATGGCAAGATCTTGCAAGATCCTGCAAGATCTTAGGTAAGATCCTGCAAGAACTTGGAAAGATCTTGCAAGATCATGCAAGATCTTTCCATGATCTTGCAGGATTCATGTAAGATCTTGGCATGATCTTGGTACAAATCCTGCAAGATCTTGCCATGATAATGGCAAGATCTTGCA